CTTCCTCCCCTCCGCCTGTTGGGCCCGTGGTGTCCGTCCCCACCGGCCCTCCCAGCGGGCCCTCCCCTGTCAGGACGGCGGCCTGGTCCCCGTCCCCCTGGATCGCGGGGGTGGTCGCTCTGTGCAGCTCCTCCCTGGATTCCCTGGCCTCGCTTGCGATGTTCATCCCCGCCAGCCTGGCCTTTCTCACGCAGTGCATCAGTCGGCGACCTTTGTGCAGCTGATGGAGGGGTCGGCCCTTTGGGATCTTAAGGCCTTTCCCGTTGTGCACGGGATGGTGGACCTTGGAGCCCCGTGCCGCTTCCGAGTGGTTCAGCCTTCGCAGTCGCGGCCGCTCCCCTGGGCCCCCCCCCATCCACCAGGCAGGTTTGCGAAGTTCCTCGGCAGCTCAGCCCACCTTGCTCACACGCGCCGTTGGGACGGCCCTGGGCTTGGCGCCCCACTGGCGACTCGCCCATCGTCCACCTCGCCTGGACGCTTACTTGGCATGATGAACATGCAGTCATCGGCGCACTCGCCCTTGCGCCGCTTGAGTGGGCTTTGTCTCACGGCACACCCCCCTAATTCCCGGGCGTTCTGCTAGGCTGCAAGTGCCTGAGCTTCCCTGGGCGCCCTCAGTCCGCCAGCTTTCCCGTGCAGCCCCGCAGCTGCTTGGTGAGTGGGCCGGCCGACATGCGGCGCGTTTAGTAGCTAATTCTTTACGCTTCGCGTATCCCCACCAGCCCATCTCACAACAACAACTCATGCGAAGCATGGCGACAGTCGTGTTTTTCAGGCGTGTGTCCGTTTGGCCCCGCATATCTCCCCTGTTCCTCCTTCCTCCCGCCTCCTTGTACATCCTCCTTGTGGGGGGAGCGGGAGAAGGACGAGGCGGAGGAGGAGGGAGAGAAAGCGCTCCTCGTGATTTGAGTCGTTTGGGGTTTCTCGTCCTGGTGTGAGTCGTTCGGGCCCTTCTTCCTGGTGTGAGTCGTTCGGGCTCTTCGTGGTGTGAGTCGTTCGGGCTCTTCGTCCTGGTGTGAGTCGTTCGGGCTTCTCGTGGTGTGAGTTGTTCGGGCCCCTCATCCTGGTGTGAGTCGTTCGGGCCCCTCCTCCTGGTGTGACTCGTTCGGGCTCCTCGTGGTGTGAGTCGTTCGGGGCCCGCGTCGTGGTGTGAGTCGTTCGGGCTCCTCGTGGTGTGAGTCGTTCGGGCGCCTCGTCCTGGTGTGAGTCGTTCGGGCCCCTCCTTGTGGTGTGAGTCGTTCGGGCTCTTCGTGGTGTGAGTCGTTCGGGCCCCTCGTCCTGGTGTGAGTCGTTCGGGCTCCTCGTGGGGCCTCTTGGGGGCCTCTTGGAGCCTCTTGGGGCCTCTTGGGGGCCTCTTGGGGGCCTCTTGGGGGCCTCTTGGGGGCCTCCTGGGGCCTCTGGGGGCCTCTTGGGGGCCTCTTGGGGGCCTCTTGGGGGCCTCTTGGGGCCTCTTGGGGGCCTCTTGGGGGCCTCTTGGAGGCCTCTTGGGAGGCTCCTGGGGGCCTCTTGGGGCCATCTTGGGGCCTCTTGCGACCTCCTCAGAAGCGCAAAGAAGCGCTGCCCCCTGAGAAGGACAAAATGAGCCCAAAACCTTCGTAAAATCAATGATTTTGCTATGAAGGAAGATGAGCGCGGCCCCCTCGGGAGGCCAAAATGGGGCCAAAACCCTAGTAAAAACAAGGATTTTGGCTTCACAGAAGAGGAGAGGGTTTTTTCTGGGCCCCCCCGACGGGGCCAGAATCCTCGTGACGGTCGTCGTTTTGTGGCCCTCCCAGGAGTCGAAGAATACCCCTCCAACCACCCGCGGGACGCCCTCTCCAGGCCCAGGGGGAGGGGGTAGGGGGAGGGGTAAACCCCTCCCCGAAGGGGAAGAAGGGGGGTTGAGGACAGAGGGGGCTCTCTAAACCACTCACGCCCTAAAGGGCTGGTGGGATTCGGCCGCTTCCGTGTCCCGGAACGCTTCTGACTCCGCTTGCTTTCTCGCTGGCGGACGCGACCGAAAAAAATATCTTCACCAGCCAATCCAGGAATTGTGCCCAGGGGAGCTGCCCCTCTCAGGAGAGCGTGTCGTCACTTGGAGAGCTCGGAAAGCCTCTGTGGGCCAGAGGCTTGGATGCCTCTCGGAGTATCCTGGGATGTCTCTTGGGATGTATCTTGGGGCATCTTGAGGGCCTCCTGGCGGCTCTTGAGGGGCCTTATGGGGCGCCTCAGGGGCCCCTTGGAGGCCTCTTGGGACGTCTTGGGAGCCCCGTGGCGGTCTTGAGAGCCTCTTGGGGCGTTTTGGGTGCCTCATGCGTTTGGGGGCCTCTTGGGAACCTCGTGGGGGAGTGGGGATCCCTTGAGCCGACTTGGGGTTTCGTGGGGTCCTCGTGGGCTGTCCTGGAGCTATGTTAGAAGCATCTTGGGCCATCCTGAGCGGTCGCAAACCCAACATGCGAAAACATCAGCATCCCTCAACAACCTGCGGACACGCAGTGGTTTTGCCTCCTCAGGCTCTCCTGGAGGGCCTCGTGCAGCCCTCTGGGGCCGTCTTGGAGGCCTCTTGGGCTGCCTTGAGGCTGTCTCGGGAGCCTCTTGAGCGGTCTGGGGCCATTTTGGTGTCGTCTTGCCGTCCGGAGGCAGAACAACTAGGCCAGAGCAAACTCAGGCGGGTCGATTTCAGACCGACGCGCGCTACGAGGGGAGGTGGGTTGGCCTTAGAAAGACTAAGAAACCTTCCAGTCAGCGGAGGCGCATTCTAACATGCCCACTCCGTTCAGGCACGGTGGCGGACACATACGTGTTTATCTATGTATAATGTGATTCCACATGTGTTTGTGTGTGTGCGCGCGAAATCGGGACCTCTTGGGTGCTTCTTGAGGGGACGTCTTTGATGTTCTCAAAGGCCTCTTTCTAAATGCTAGCCTATGCAGTAAAGGCATGGGACACTGGAGGTCGTCGGGCAGCGTCGTGGCTCCTCGATTTCTTTTTTTACCCCCCAGGGCCTCGCTGGAGAACTTCTTGGGCGCCCGTTGCGGCCTTGTTAGGAAGCGGACTCCTCTGGAGGTTGCCGGGCCGTTCCTGGGGGCATCCGGCACCCGTCTCGGGGACGAGCCTCGGGCCGTCTCGAGGCGAAGGAGAGCGCGGGGGCACAGAGCCTCGGTCTCGCCCCCGGGCGCGAAGATGGTCGCGCTTCGCGCCCCAAGGCCCGGGCTGAGGCAGCTGCCCTGCTCCGAGGCTGCCTCGCGGGGGCGCGAGGAGGACCGCGCGGCGCGCATCGCGGTGCGCGGTGCGCGAAGTTGGGCGGCCTGCACAGCAAAGCGAGGGGCGCGATGGTGACCCTGGGCCTGTGGCGAGCGGGGAGGTCGCTACCTGAGAACTGCACACCTGCCCGAGCGCGCCCCGGCGCGACGTGGGCATGGCGACGGGCCCCCTGTGCTACGGCGAGCGTCCCGCTGGGAACCCGCGGGTCTCCCATGACCCCGCACGCGCACGACCACGGCGGTGTCGGAGTGGTGGTATTCGTATGGCCCCGCCACCGGTGTTTGACTCGGGAAGGGTTTGGCAGAGTACGTTCCCTGTGGCCCTGCCGCAGGCAGTGGCAGGACTGGAACGGCGCGGGCTGAGTCGGTTTCACAATGCGGATTGGACCTCAAAGTAAGCATCGGCCGTGCACCCTGGCAACACATAGCTGAGTTCTTGAGGCGAAAACCTCCTGACAGCGGATAGACGTCTCAAACTCAGTTGACACTGGCAAGCTCTGTCGTAAAGCAAATGGGCAAGTCTCAAGTGATAGGTGGGTTTTGAAAGCGAATTCCTGCGCCTCAGTCTGACCAATGGGACTTTCAAGCCCAGACATCGAAAAACACGCGCCCCCGATCCGTGTGAATGCTAGAAACCTCAAACATGGCAGTATTATGCCCGTTTGTCTAACACATGTCATGGGCGAGCGCCAGATGTGGAAGGCCAGCTCCCCTCAATCACTGAAGCTGCCAGCAAGAGCAGTGAGGAAATCCCAATCAGAGCCCGATGATGAAAGCCATTCATAATTCATCAGGTGCAGCTCTCGACATTCAGGCTTTGTGTGAGTAAGATGCCTCAGAGAGTTGTCCGGGCCGCAGTGCCCGAAATATCAATAGACGCACGGACTTTTATCAGGGTGCGTATCGGCTTTCAGACATACACCTCGAAAGTGTAAACGAATGTGCTCAACTGGCGGAGCGAGGGGTTCCGCTCCCGAGAATCCACTTGAGGCCGCACGCGTGTTGGCCGAGACGAGGCGAGCAGCCGTCGCTGCGTTTGTCTTCTCCCCATCCTTTCGGCGTGGAGTGTGTGTGTGTGTGTGTGCGTGTGTGTGTGTGTGTGGGGGGGGCCAGCGGGGCTTGCCCCTGGATGACCCGCGGCGCCGTGGGGCTTGGAGGAGTCCCGTGGTCTGAGAGCCCGGGTAGGCCCAGACCGACAACGTCATTATTGAACAATTGAATTCTGAAGTTTCTCACAGTTTTCGTTTTCCTGATGCCCTCGCCAAGCGCTGCGACAATAACAGAAACGACGTGATGAAACACCGGCCCAAGGGGAAATGGTGGGGACTTCCAGGGACAGCGTATTGAACAAATCGCTAGGCCCAGCGGGGGCGATGGCTCTAGGTTGTGGTTCGATCGTGATCCTTCATACCTCGTTGCAGCGATAGGTCTCTGTTGCCTGCACCTGCTCAAACTCAGAATTTGACCTCAATCCAATCCGCGTGTGGGGGGGCTATGGCTCTACACTGCGTACTTGAGAACCCTTGGAACCTTCAGGCACCAAGGGGTTCTTTCTAATGCTCACGGGAACACATGACAACAAATATCTTGATCACAGTGCGTAGAAGATGTTCGGAATTGTATGGCCACTGCCTTGATGCACGGGAACCTTGTACACAATGCAAGTGCTTGCGCTTGTCGATCCCTGTTAGGCTGAGTTTGGTTCCGGGTTCGATTCATCACTGAGGTCATGATTGTGCAAAATTAAGGATTTGGGAAAGGAAATGCGACCACAATAACCAACAAGGCAGTGACATTGCGCTGTCGCCATCCTCCAGTGTGTTTTTGTGACCTGCACAATCCGCACTAATCAGTTCGGCTCATTTGTTCTACATTGGAATCTTTCACATCCCGTGCTTGCAAGCATCTCTCATACCGTCGCCGCTGGCGTCCTTGCAATGGAAATTGCCCAAGGCGTGCAGGAGGGCCTCGCATCTCCTCTCCTTATGGACAGTGGCGCAGCCCACGCCGAGTATAGAGACGAGGAGGATACGTCGACGGCGTCATGGGACAGGGTGACGATGCAACCTGATGGTGTCGCGCAGCTGGCGCTTGAGACTGGACGCGCGCGCAATCATGGTGCCTCCGATATCGCACGGCGCCACGCCGCCATGCCACGCCCCTCGGTGACGATGACTGTGCAGGAGTTCAATGACGCCCACGCGGATTTTACAGCCCGGTTGCGCGACCTTGAGAACCACGGTAAGGTGGCAGCGGGTATTGTCGTTTTCTTTCTGTGCGTGTTCCTTATCTTGCATACGATCTCTTTCCGCCACATGTGGGAAACTGATCTGCAGATCGGCGCGGAGGATCGAATCTTGGGCAGCACGAACGACCTGATCAGAGGTGCGAGCGACAGATTCGTGAGCAAAGACGCCTTCAACTCGCTCAGAGACCAGATGGACAAACTCGCTGAGCGCGTGGCGCACATGGAGGACCAGTTCGGGAACACCAGGGACAAGTTCGTGACCAAGGACAGCTCATACAAGATGGAGAGCATCCTCAAGGATAAGATTTCGGGCTTGCGTTTGGAACTGTCCGACGTCAGCGTTCGGCTCGAGGAGATGTCTCCCAAGTCGGAGGTCCAGGTGTTGCGCCAAGACTTGAGCGTATTCAAGCAAGCCCAGGCAGAGCAACACGAGGTTTTGCAACACAAGCTTTTGCAACAGGAGGCGAGCGTCAAGGCTCTGTCGAGTCGGGTCGACGGCGTTGCCACCGCCACCAACAAGGCGCTCGCCAGGGCGGCAGCGGTTGACGAGGCCACGGCTGGCTGCGCGTGCGTGAAAGAGAAACGCCACGAGTGCCCGAAGCGGACCCAGGATCGCAGGCCTAGAGGTTGACACCAACACCAAGATCGGCGGCGTGCCTCCAACGAGGGAAGCAGATACCGGTCTCGGAGATGGTGGTAATATTCTGGCTTCCAAGGTGGCCGAAAACATTACCACCAACACCGAAATCTAGGATCACCTCCCCCCTGTGGAGGCAGCCCCCTGTCTTGGTGTTGGTGCCTACTTCCAGGCCTCCAACAGGAGTGCACCCTGTGGCACTGGTACAATCCAGACAACTTCGACCCGTTCTGCGGCGGCGGCAGGGAGGACGCGGCCGACGGGGTCTGCATGCGGGACTCCACGAATAGCAATGTTTGGGTCTCGGAGATGAAAGGACCTGCGCGGCTCCGAACGGGGATGCCACGGTGCCCATTTGGGCATGAGGAGGAGGCGGAGGCGGAGGAGGAGGAGGCGGAGGAGGAGGAGGAGGAGGACCTCCCTGAGGAGGAGGACAAGGAGGCGGGGGTGGAGGGAGGAGCCCTTCTCTCCTGTCGGTGCCACCCTTCTATTTGGGGTATCCCCTGAAAGGATGCTGCCGCTCAGTCGAGTAGGCTGCGCAGTGATGGGCGGAGCCATGGTTGTGGCTGCGGGGAGCTAGTGGTTATGCTGAGGGCTTGCTAGCTCTTGGCTTGCGCTACACCGCCGACCCCTTGGGAGCCCCGGGTGCCTCTCTGTCGGGGGGCCTTGTCGTGTAAACGTTTTGGTGGCGCATGCCCATCTGGGAAACCGAGGACTGCTCAAAGGGGCCTACTGGGTCGTTCTGGGGCCTTCTTGCGGGGCCTCTGGGGGTTCCTCATGGGGGTCTTAGGCAGTCTTGGGGCCCTCTTGGGCCCTCCTGTGGGCCTCTTGGGTCGTCTTGGGGCGCTCTTTCGGGCCTCCCGGTCTGCCTCAAACACCCTCAAGATCGAAACGGAGAGCGTGTCAAACATATCGAAGACATGAGTTTTTTTTTGTTTTGTTTGTTTTTTGTTTTTTTGTTTTTTTGTTGTTTTTGTTTTTTGTTTGTTTGTTTTGTTATCATTTTTTGTTTTTTTTGGGGGGGGGAGTCTCTTCGGGGCCCTCTTGGGGCCGACTTGGGGCGCTTTGGTAGCGTCGTGGACCGTGCTGGGCCCATCTTGGGTCGTCGTGAGTCCGTCTTGGGCTGTCTCGCAATCCTCATGGACCGTTTTGGAACGACCTGGGGCATTTGTGGCGCGTCTTGGGGATTTCCTGGGGCAGAGCGGCCCGCAGGGCCCGCCGGGGGGCCGCCGGCGCCATGATTAAAAACAAGAGCTGCTTCGCCGGATGCGCGAGCGGGAGCAGAAGTCAATGCATCCCTCCGCACCACCAGGCTTCTGTCCGTCTAACTCGCCTTGCCTGCGCCTGCACTGTCTGCTGCTCTTCTTTCTTGACTTGCGTTTCCGCAGCTATACACATACTTGGCTGTAGGGAAACGGAAAAGGAGCGAGCCTGCGGCGTGCGTCGGCCGGTGGGCTGGCCTCTTCCCTTCAGTGTTACCTTAGTGTATGTGTTGACGGCATTATCCCTTCTTGCCCAAGTCATCTGCGGAGTCCACTGATCATGAGACGTCATCGAGACATCTTGCAGGGACTATGAATGTCCAGGCAAAAGACTGGCTTTCAACCGAAGCGACGGCGCAGCCGTTCGCTTCGCGGAGCATGGGATCTCAAGAAGGAGCGCTCGGGAGAACAGAAGATCGAATATTTTCCGAGCGTGACACAAGTATAAGCACCGCAGTGAGGCGACACAGCTCTCCTATTCTCCCCGGTAAGAAAGCATCAGAGACCATGTTCGCCTTGACAGAAGGGGATCCATCGGTTGATTCAGAGAGAAGATCCAGAGTGTTACACTCGGGCGGAAGGTATGGCGCAGCCAGAACTTCTACCGAGGGACCCTTTGAGTTGGTGTTGGCGCACTCCGGCTTTCAGACATCGATAGACATAGATCTCGAAATGGAAAAATGCTGGATCACGCTCCCATGGAAGCATCAGGCGTTGAACGTCTGGGCGCCGAGCGTACGATCCAGTATACGTTGTGCGGACAGAGTGAGGATGTGAACGATGTACAATCTGACGGGGGCAGTTCCCATTCGCCAGAAAAGAATGAGGAATCTGCTCTATTTCAAACCTCGCCTGGTCCGTCACGTCATCTTGAACCTCTTCTTGATCTGTGTAGCGATCTTGTTTCTGACCGAATAATCATTGAAGCAAGTCAGAAAGCCATTCTCGATGCAGACGATGGCTGTAAGGATGGAGAAAGCCTGATTCAAGATGAATGCTCATCGGCACAGCCGATAATGAGCTCCCCCGACGCAGTGCGCGCGGTGAGAGGTACGCGAGATATCACAGGGACGATTTCTCATCCGCTGACGAAGAAACCAACAAGTGAGAATGACGACTTGAATGTTTCGCCTTTCTCGCAGGTTTTTCACAGACCAGACCTCTCATTGCCTAGAACAAGCAGAGATAGAGGTCCAGAGCTCGATGAGCTTGTCGTTCAGGACGAACGAGATGAGTTGGCAAGAAACGTGGACGTTGATGCGTTCAAGAGGGGCGCACGGGCAAGAGAAAAACGCGCGCCTACCCGGCATTGCGAGGGGGGGGCGTTCCAGTAAGGCCCCCAGGGCCGGGCGTTCCAGCTCCAGAGGGTTTAATGTCTTTGACTCGCCGCGAACCTCATCGAATAGAACTGCCAGCAGCTTTTCGATGCGGGGGGGTTGCTGGAATTCCGGGCCAACGCGCCCTTCCCGCGCGGGGAATCGGCGCCCCGGGGAAGCGCGCAAACCGGGGGGTTCATGTCTAAGACCAGTGCGTTCTCATTGCTCGAATGTCTGCTCCAAGTGTAGCCTTGCGTGGCTTTGTGGCGATTGTATCACGATGGAAGAGCGCAGTTGCCGTCGTCTCGCGGTCCAAGAATGGGCTGGGAGAAACAGACCGGATCGAGAGCAGCTGAGGGCTGCGAGTGCGCGCATGCAGCGGATTATCTCTGAAGCGCAGGTCCATGGGCAGGCTGCCGACGAGGCCCGACGCCAGCTTGCAATTTCTGAGTCCGAAAAGCAGGCCAGTGTGTAAAGGATGGAGCATGAGAAAACCGTCATTTTGGAAGATGCGCAGAAGTTGATGCAGCATGCTCAGGCCAATGCAGCAGGCGTCGCGGACGAAGCAAATCGGCGCCTTGCTCGAGAGGAAATTGAGCAATTGAGAGTTCAGAGCATAGCGGAAAAATTGGTGTCTGACTCTCAGCAGAAGGCAGACAAAAAGAGAAAACTGAATGCAGAGAGATGGCTAATGCTGCAAGCAGGGAAGGAGAGAGAGAAACCCGAGAACAGGCAGCGCGAGAAAATCAGGAGCTCCGCAGTCAATTCGAAGCTGCCAGACTCGAGGCTGGCAGTGTGAAATCAGAAGCAATACGAGCCCTTAGAGAACAAGAGCAAAAGACCCAGGCGACCAGGGGAGAGGACCATGGAAGACTGGCCGATGCCTCGGAACGTTTGAAGGGAGACGCGAGAGAACATATACGAAGCAACGCCCATGCAACTCGGGCCGTAAGCGAAGAAAACAAAAGGTTGAGGTCTGATCTTGAGCAACGACGAATGGAATAAGTGTCTGATTCAACGCTGGCACAGCCGGTTCATGTTGAGCCGCCTCCTCGCCCCATTGCTGCCGGAACTGCTGGGAAGCCGGGTGCGTCGCGAGCTCATGCGCGATCTGGCGCCTCGAACCAGGACTGTCACATTGTACGCATCCTTCGACCGAGGCGTGCAAGGGTTGATTGAAGCACACATGCAATGATCATCTGGACATGGGTACCAAGCGCTGTGACGAATGCGCTTGGAGAAAAACGATAGGGTATCGGGGCGATAGCGGGAAGAGGAAATAACCTCGATACATGCATGATGCCCAGAACACAGGTAGCCATCCTGATTGGACGGCGCCGAGACACTGGGCTTCGCTTAAGGACGATAAGCCTGAACGCCAGATGAGTACTCTTGTCGACATTATGGGAATGTCATTCTTCAAATCGGAGAAGTCGGGCCATGGTGAGATGCCAATGGTGTCTGCTCCGTCGATGCCGACGCTTCATTTTGCGACATCGCGTTTCATTCCTGGACCGGCTGTCGGGAATAATTTGGGAACAAGCGAGAGTCCGACGCGGGGGGGCGCCCAGAGAGTGAACCCTGGGAATGTCCCTTCCAATGCGAAGATATCGGAACATCCTAACAACCTCGACTTGCCTGGGCACCTTCCTTTCACAGTCGGCCCAGGTGTTCCCCGTGAAAGGTGGGGGCCCGGGAGGCCATGAGGGCGATCAATGACGTGATCAGAGTACAGCCCCCAGCGCAGGAATCATCGTTGCGTTGCATTTTGATGAGACGGGCAAGTCCAAGCCGCCTAGAGGCCCACCGGGGGGGCCAGGAGGCGATGGCGACCCAGGCGGAGATGGCGGTGGGGGGCCGAATGGCCACAACGACCCCGCGTGGCGGCCTTTTCACGTCGATCAAATGGACCTAAATTGGAGAAGTTGTGGAAACAATAAAGAACTGAACTTGCTCGATATACTGAGGGTCCAGGCGCTCCGGGAATGGGAGCAACGCTGTATAAGAGTTGTAGCTGGATCGTGGCATGACGTTCACGCAGCACGGACGTGGGCCAGCGAAGCAATGGGCCCCGACGTGCCCAAGGAAAACCTAAGAGACTCAGGTCACTGATGCGCCTTGGTATGATGATTGCTTCCAACCTGCTCGAGACATTTGCGAAGATGAAACGTAACCAACGTCTGTCAGCGCAACATGCCCATTTTCTGTCGCAAATCAATCGCATGGAACACTTGGGTCAGATAGTAGTACGTCTCCGTGCGGGTCGTGAAATGATGCGAGCCATATGCGTTTGGTGTTCAGTCAGGTTGGAGAGCGGACAATATCGGAAATGTCGAGGCCTCTTCAAACTGACCATTGATCGACAGAAACCGGATCAAGACTTGCATTGTTTCTATATCGAATGGATGGAGCGGTATCAAGAGTTGTACGGCGCCAGGGAACCATCGGATGAAATGAAGGCTTCGATACGTGCACATTTCTATGAACAGATACGACAGGTCCCTAGGCGTGAGTACGCCACGCAGTGGTATGAGTTGTCAACAGATCCTCCGGGCACGGGAATTATAACTTATCAGTGGATCTTGCTCCAAGTCGAATATCTTATGATGCGGGGCAGAGAACAGTGGGCAATTTCTGAACACGAGTCGACCCTCAATTCTAGAAATAGGCAGGCCCGCCTGACAGGCGGGAAAAATGAGGGTGGCTGGGGCGGAAAAAGGGCTTCTGCCATGGCAGCAGCGATCCAACGACCAGGATTGCCCACGATCCTGGTCCTTTTATCTCCAGTCACCTTTTGACGGTCCCTGGGCCCAACCAAAGACCCTCCGTCGTTTTCGTTGTTGTTGTTGCTGCTGCTGTTGTTGTTGATGGTGTTGATGTTGTTATTGTTGCTGTTGTTGTGGTTGTTGTTTTTGTTGTTGCTGCTGCTGCTCCTGCTCCTGCTGCTGCTGCTGCTGCTGTTGTTGTTGTTGTTGTTGTTGTTGTTGTTGAACATTATTAATTCTAAAGAATAATTATTGTTGGGGCCCCTGGTGCACGGCCCCCCTGCGCCGCCTAGGCCGCAGCTACATTTTCATCATTTTCGTGAGGAAGCCTCAGGTAATTCGATGTGATCAAGATCCGGTTGTTTTGTTCCCCCCCGCTTTCCCTTGCAAAAAACACTATAAAATGACATTTCTTGTTCTAATATAATCAAATTTCAAGAATCCCTTGCAAAAAATAAGGTAAAGTGGACATTCGCGCGCGCAAGACGAAATCCTTCCAAAAGCTTAGTGTTCGGAGCGATTTTAACATAAAAACATCAAAAAACAATGGTTTTTCAACAAAAAAATGTCAAAATCTCATCCCGCGCGCTCTTGCGGATTCGTAGGAAACCCAACACTTTTTAAACATTTCTGTCAAACGGGCTTTTGCGAGCAACTTTTTCGAACTTCTGCGACAACGGTTGCGCACCTGCCAGGGCCATCATCCCTGTCAAATAATACCATGCGGGACACATTCGTTTTTTCTTCGCGCGCGCACGCCGAAATCTCCAAAAACCATTGGGTTCTTAAGAATTTTACCACCGCGCATCATAAAATCACACGAATCGCACCGTAGGTCCTCGAAAAACAGCTGCACGACTTTTCAAAATTTCCACCCGCGCGCGCTGTCCGAATCCTAAAAAAAAACAATGGTTTCCCAACATTTATGTTACATGAGCTCGCGCGAGCTACTTTCGCACGCTCTTGCAACGGGGTTCGCGCGCCTGCCAGGGGCCATAATCCCTTGCGGTTGCGCCATAGGTTGCGCCCTCGGCCGCCGAGAATAAAACGCCCTCCTATTGGTTGCGCCATAGGTTGCGCCCTCGGCCGCCGAGAATAAAACGCTCCCTACTGGTTGCGCCATAGGTTGCCCCAGGAGGCCTTCAAGAGGCCCCAAGAGCCCGCCGTGAGGACCCAATAAGCCCCCAAGAGGCCCCAAGATGCTTCCAAGAAGCCCCCCAAAGCTCAAGAGGACCCCAAGCGGCTCCAGGAGGCTTCCCCCCTACCCCAAGAGGACCCCAAGCGGCCCCAGGAAGCCTGGCACCGGCACTGTGGGTGTGTACCCCACGCCAGTGTAGTAGCCACGGTCGTCCGCACGCCACGAAGTGAAGTGTCCCAACGTCATAGGGCGGTAAGCTGGGTTTGGGTGGTCGCGAAGAGTCGTTTGGATATTTGGTAGAGCTTGTAATGCCCCCCCACGAAGTGGGGGTATTGCCTGGTGTCGTATGAAAACCCTGGCACTGGGGAGAACACCACGCGTTCGGGTAAAATGATTGTTGTTGTTGTTGTTGCTGTTGTTGTTGCTGTTGTTTTCTTTTGTTGTTAATGCTGTTGTTGTCGTCGTTGTTGTTGTTGCTGCTGCAGTTGCTGCTGTTGTTGTTGCTGCTGCTGCTGTTGCTGTTTTTGCAGTTGCTGCTGTTGCTGTTGTCGTCGTCGTCGTCGTCGTCGTAGTCGTCGTCGTCGTCGTCGTCGTCGTCGTCGTTGTTGTTGTTGTTGTTGTTGTTGTTGTTGTTGTTGTTGTTGTTGTTGTTGTTGTTGTTGTTGTTGTTGTTGTTGTTGTTGTTGTTGTTGTTGTTGTTGTTGTTGTTGTTGTTGTTGTTGTTGTTGTTGTTGTTGTTGTTATCATTGCTGCCCCCTGAGAAGGACAAAATGAGCCCAAAACCTTCGTAAAATCAATGATTTTGCTATGAAGGAAGATGAGCGCGGCCCCCTCGGGAGGCCAAAATGGGGCCAAAACCCTAGTAAAAACAAGGATTTTGGCTTCACAGAAGAGGAGAGGGTTTTTTCTGGGCCCCCCCGACGGGGCCAGAATCCTCGTGACGGTCGTCGTTTTGTGGCCCTCCCAGGAGTCGAAGAAGACCCCTCCAACCACCCGCGGGACGCCCTCTCCAGGCCCAGGGGGAGGGGGTAGGGGGAGGGGTAAACCCCTCCCCGAAGGGGAAGAAGGGGGGTTGAGGACAGAGGGGGCTCTCTAAACCACTCACGCCCTAAAGGGCTGGTGGGATTCGGCCGCTTCCGTGTCCCGGAACGCTTCTGACTCCGCTTGCTTTCTCGCTGGCGGACGCGACCGAAAAAAATATCTTCACCAGCCAATCCAGGAATTGTGCCCAGGGGAGCTGCCCCTCTCAGGAGAGCGTGTCGTCACTTGGAGAGCTCGGAAAGCCTCTGTGGGCCAGAGGCTTGGATGCCTCTCGGAGTATCCTGGGATGTCTCTTGGGATGTATCTTGGGGCATCTTGAGGGCCTCCTGGCGGCTCTTGAGGGGCCTTATGGGGCGCCTCAGGGGCCCCTTGGAGGCCTCTTGGGACGTCTTGGGAGCCCCGTGGCGGTCTTGAGAGCCTCTTGGGGCGTTTTGGGTGCCTCATGCGTTTGGGGGCCTCTTGGGAACCTCGTGGGGGAGTGGGGATCCCTTGAGCCGACTTGGGGTTTCGTGGGGTCCTCGTGGGCTGTCCTGGAGCTATGTTAGAAGCATCTTGGGCCATCCTGAGCGGTCGCAAACCCAACATGCGAAAACATCAGCATCCCTCAACAACCTGCGGACACGCAGCGGTTTTGCCTCCTCAGGCTCTCCTGGAGGGCCTCGTGCAGCCCTCTGGGGCCGTCTTGGAGGCCTCTTGGGCTGCCTTGAGGCTGTCTCGGGAGCCTCTTGAGCGGTCTGGGGCCATTTTGGTGTCGTCTTGCCGTCCGGAGGCAGAACAACTAGGCCAGAACAAACTCAGGCGGGTCGATTTCAGACCGACGCGCGCTACGAGGGGAGGTGGGTTGGCCTTAGAAAGACTAAGAAACCTTCCAGTCAGCGGAGGCGCATTCTAACATGCCCACTCCGTTCAGGCACGGTGGCGGACACATACGTGTTTATCTATGTATAATGTGATTCCACATGTGTTTGTGTGTGTGCGCGCGAAATCGGGACCTCTTGGGTGCTTCTTGAGGGGACGTCTTTGATGTTCTCAAAGGCCTCTTTCTAAATGCTAGCCTATGCAGTGGAGGCATGGGACACTGGAGGTCGTCGGGCAGCGTCGTGGCTCCTCGATTTCTTTTTTTACCCCCCAGGGCCTCGCTGGAGAACTTCTTGGGCGCCCGTTGCGGCCTTGTTAGGAAGCGGACTCCTCTGGAGGTTGCCGGGCCGTTCCTGGGGGCATCCGGCACCCGTCTCGGGGACGAGCCTCGGGCCGTCTCGAGGCGAAGGAGAGCGCGGGGGCACAGAGCCTCGGTCTCGCCCCCGGGCGCGAAGATGGTCGCGCTTCGCGCCCCAAGGCCCGGGCTGAGGCAGCTGCCCTGCTCCGAGGCTGCCTCGCGGGGGCGCGAGGAGGACCGCGCGGCGCGCATCGCGGTGCGCGGTGCGCGAAGTTGGGCGGCCTGCACAGCAAAGCGAGGGGCGCGATGGTGACCCTGGGCCTGTGGCGAGCGGGGAGGTCGCTACCTGAGAACTGCACACCTGCCCGAGCGCGCCCCGGCGCGACGTGGGCATGGCGACGGGCCCCCTGTGCTACGGCGAGCGTCCCGCTGGGAACCCGCGGGTCTCCCATGACCCCGCACGCGCACGACCACGGCGGTGTCGGAGTGGTGGTATTCGTATGGCCCCGCCACCGGTGTTTGACTCGGGAAGGGTTTGGCAGAGTACGTTCCCTGTGGCCCTGCCGCAGGCAGTGGCAGGACTGGAACGGCGCGGGCTGAGTCGGTTTCACAATGCGGATTGGACCTCAAAGTAAGCATCGGCCGTGCACCCTGGCAACACATAGCTGAGTTCTTGAGGCGAAAACCTCCTGACAGCGGATCGACGTCTCAAACTCAGTTGACACTGGCAAGCTCTGTCGTAAAGCAAATGGGCAAGTCTCAAGTGATAGGTGGGTTTTGAAAGCGAATTCCTGCGCCTCAGTCTGACCAATGGGACTTTCAAGCCCAGACATCGAAAAACACGCGCCCCCGATCCGTGTGAATGCTAGAAACCTCAAACATGGCAGTATTATGCCCGTTTGTCTAACACATGTCATGGGCGAGCGCCAGATGTGGAAGGCCAGCTCCCCTCAATCACTGAAGCTGCCAGCAAGAGCAGTGAGGAAATCCCAATCAGAGCCCGATGATGAAAGCCATTCATAATTCATCAGGTGCAGCTCTCGACATTCAGGCTTTGTGTGAGTAAGATGCCTCAGAGAGTTGTCCGGGCCGCAGTGCCCGAAATATCAATAGACGCACGGACTTTTATCAGGGTGCGTATCGGCTTTCAGACATACACCTCGAAAGTGTAAACGAATGTGCTCAACTGGCGGAGCGAGGGGTTCCGCTCCCGAGAATCCACTTGAGGCCGCACGCGTGTTGGCCGAGACGAGGCGAGCAGCCGTCGCTGCGTTTGTCTTCTCCCCATCCTTTCGGCGTGGAGTGTGTGTGTGTGTGTGTGCGTGTGTGTGTGTGTGTGGGGGGGGCCAGCGGGGCTTGCCCCTGGATGACCCGCGGCGCCGTGGGGCTTGGAGGAGTCCCGTGGTCTGAGAGCCCGGGTAGGCCCAGACCGACAACGTCATTATTGAACAATTGAATTCTGAAGTTTCTCACAGTTTTCGTTTTCCTGATGCCCTCGCCAAGCGCTGCGACAATAACAGAAACGACGTGATGAAACACCGGCCCAAGGGGAAATGGTGGGGACTTCCAGGGACAGCGTATTGAACAAATCGCTAGGCCCAGCGGGGGCGATGGCTCTAGGTTGTGGTTCGATCGTGATCCTTCATACCTCGTTGCAGCGATAGGTCTCTGTTGCCTGCACCTGCTCAAACTCAGAATTTGACCTCAATCCAATCCGCGTGTGGGGGGGCTATGGCTCTACACTGCGTACTTGAGAACCCTTGGAACCTTCAGGCACCAAGGGGTTCTTTCTAATGCTCACGGGAACACATGACAACAAATATCTTGATCACAGTGCGTAGAAGATGTTCGGAATTGTATGGCCACTGCCTTGATGCACGGGAACCTTGTACACAATGCAAGTGCTTGCGCTTGTCGATCCCTGTTAGGCTGAGTTTGGTTCCGGGTTCGATTCATCACTGAGGTCATGATTGTGCAAAATTAAGGATTTGGGAAAGGAAATGCGACCACAATAACCAACAAGGCAGTGACATTGCGCTGTCGCCATCCTCCAGTGTGTTTTTGTGACCTGCACAATCCGCACTAATCAGTTCGGCTCATTTGTTCTACATTGGAATCTTTCACATCCCGTGCTTGCAAGCATCTCTCATACCGTCGCCGCTGGCGTCCTTGCAATGGAAATTGCCCAAGGCGTGCAGGAGGGCCTCGCATCTCCTCTCCTTATGGACAGTGGCGCAGCCCACGCCGAGTATAGAGACGAGGAGGATACGTCGACGGCGTCATGGGACAGGGTGACGATGCAACCTGATGGTGTCGCGCAGCTGGCGCTTGAGACTGGACGCGCGCGCAATCATGGTGCCTCCGATATCGCACGGCGCCACGCCGCCATGCCACGCCCCTCGGTGACGATGACTGTGCAGGAGTTCAATGACGCCCACGCGGATTTTACAGCCCGGTTGCGCGACCTTGAGAACCACGGTAAGGTGGCAGCGGGTATTGTCGTTTTCTTTCTGTGCGTGTTCCTTATCTTGCATACGATCTCTTTCCGCCACATGTGGGAAACTGATCTGCAGATCGGCGCGGAGGATCGAATTTTGGGCAGCACGAACGACCTGATCAGAGGTGCGAGCGACAGATTCGTGAGCAAAGACGCCTTCAACTCGCTCAGAGACCAGATGGACAAACTCGCTGAGCGCGTGGCGCACATGGAGGACCAGTTCGGGAACACCAGGGACAAGTTCGTGACCAAGGACAGCTCATACAAGATGGAGAGCATCCTCAAGGATAAGATTTCGGGCTTGCGTTTGGAACTGTCCGACGTCAGCGTTCGGCTCGAGGAGATGTCTCCCAAGTCGGAGGTCCAGGTGTTGCGCCAAGACTTGAGCGTATTCAAGCAAGCCCAGGCAGAGCAACACGAGGTTTTGCAACACAAGCTTTTGCAACAGGAGGCGAGCGTCAAGGCTCTGTCGAGTCGGGTCGACGGCGTTGCCACCGCCACCAACAAGGCGCTCGCCAGGGCGGCAGCGGTTGACGAGGCCACGGCTGGCTGCGCGTGCGTGAAAGAGAAACGCCACGAGTGCCCGAAGCGGACCCAGGATCGCAGGCCTAGAGGTTGACACCAACACCAAGATCGGCGGCGTGCCTCCAACGAGGGAAGCAGATACCGGTCTCGGAGATGGTGGTAATATTCTGGCTTCCAAGGTGGCCGAAAACATTACCACCAACACCGAAATCTAGGATCACCTCCCCCCTGTGGAGGCAGCCCCCTGTCTTGGTGTTGGTGCCTACTTCCAGGCCTCCAACAGGAGTGCACCCTGTGGCACTGGTACAATCCAGACAACTTCGACCCGTTCTGCGGCGGCGGCAGGGAGGACGCGGCCGACGGGGTCTGCATGCGGGACTCCACGAATAGCAATGTTTGGGTCTCGGAGATGAAAGGACCTGCGCGGCTCCGAACGGGGATGCCACGGTGCCCATTTGGGCATGAGGAGGAGGCGGAGGCGGAGGAGGAGGAGGCGGAGGAGGAGGAGGAGGAGGACCTCCCTGAGGAGGAGGACAAGGAGGCGGGGGTGGAGGGAGGAGCCCTTCTCTCCTGTCGGTGCCACCCTTCTATTTGGGGTATCCCCTGAAAGGATGCTGCCGCTCAGTCGAGTAGGCTGCGCAGTGATGGGCGGAGCCATGGTTGTGGCTGCGGGGAGCTAGTGGTTATGCTGAGGGCTTGCTAGCTCTTGGCTTGCGCTACACCGCCGACCCCTTGGGAGCCCCGGGTGCCTCTCTGTCGGGGGGCCTTGTCGTGTAAACGTTTTGGTGGCGCATGCCCATCTGGGAAACCGAGGACTGCTCAAAGGGGCCTACTGGGTCGTTCTGGGGCCTTCTTGCGGGGCCTCTGGGGGTTCCTCATGGGGGTCTTAGGCAGTCTTGGGGCCCTCTTGGGCCCTCCTGTGGGCCTCTTGGGTCGTCTTGGGGCGCTCTTTCGGGCCTCCCGGTCTGCCTCAAACACCCTCAAGATCGAAACGGAGAGCGTGTCAAACATATCGAAGACATGAGTTTTTTTTTGTTTTGTTTGTTTTTTGTTTTTTTGTTTTTTTGTTGTTTTTGTTTTTTGTTTGTTTGTTTTGTTATCATTTTTTGTTTTTTTTGGGGGGGGGAGTCTCTTCGGGGCCCTCTTGGGGCCGACTTGGGGCGCTTTGGTAGCGTCGTGGACCGTGCTGGGCCCATCTTGGGTCGTCGTGAGTCCGTCTTGGGCTGTCTCGCAATCCTCATGGACCGTTTTGGAACGACCTGGGGCATTTGTGGCGCGTCTTGGGGATTTCCTGGGGCAGAGCGGCCCGCAGGGCCCGCCGGGGGGCCGCCGGCGCCATGATTAAAAACAAGAGCTGCTTCGCCGGATGCGCGAGCGGGAGCAGAAGTCAATGCATCCCTCCGCACCACCAGGCTTCTGTCCGTCTAACTCGCCTTGCCTGCGCCTGCACTGTCTGCTGCTCTTCTTTCTTGACTTGCGTTTCCGCAGCTATACACATACTTGGCTGTAGGGAAACGGAAAAGGAGCGAGCCTGCGGCGTGCGTCGGCCGGTGGGCTGGCCTCTTCCCTTCAGTGTTACCTTAGTGTATGTGTTGACGGCATTATCCCTTCTTGCCCAAGTCATCTGCGGAGTCCACTGATCATGAGACGTCATCGAGACATCTTGCAGGGACTATGAATGTCCAGGCAAAAGACTGGCTTTCAACCGAAGCGACGGCGCAGCCGTTCGCTTCGCGGAGCATGGGATCTCAAGAAGGAGCGCTCGGGAGAACAGAAGATCGAATATTTTCCGAGCGTGACACAAGTATAAGCACCGCAGTGAGGCGACACAGCTCTCCTATTCTCCCCAGTAAGAAAGCATCAGAGACCATGTTCGCCTTGACAGAAGGGGATTCATCGGTTGATTCAGAGAGAAGATCCAGAGTGTTACACTCGGGCGGAAGGTATGGCGCAGCCAGAACTTCTACCGAGGGACCCTTTGAGTTGGTGTTGGCGCACTCCGGCTTTCAGACATCGATAGACATAGATCTCGAAATGGAAAAATGCTGGATCACGCTCCCATGGAAGCATCAGGCGTTGAACGTCTGGGCGCCGAGCGTACGATCCAGTATACGTTGTGCGGACAGAGTGAGGATGTGAACGATGTACAATCTGACGGGGGCAGTTCCCATTCGCCAGAAAAGAATGAGGAATCTGCTCTATTTCAAACCTCGCCTGGTCCGTCACGTCATCTTGAACCTCTTCTTGATCTGTGTAGCGATCTTGTTTCTGACCGAATAATCATTGAAGCAAGTCAGAAAGCCATTCTCGATGCAGACGATGGCTGTAAGGATGGAGAAAGCCTGATTCAAGATGAATGCTCATCGGCACAGCCGATAATGAGCTCCCCCGACGCAGTGCGCGCGGTGAGAGGTACGCGAGATATCACAGGGACGATTTCTCATCCGCTGACGAAGAAACCAACAAGTGAGAATGACGACTTGAATGTTTCGCCTTTCTCGCAGGTTTTTCACAGACCAGACCTCTCATTGCCTAGAACAAGCAGAGATAGAGGTCCAGAGCTCGATGAGCTTGTCGTTCAGGACGAACGAGATGAGTTGGCAAGAAACGTGGACGTTGATGCGTTCAAGAGGGGCGCACGGGCAAGAGAAAAACGCGCGCCTACCCGGCATTGCGAGGGGGGGGCGTTCCAGTAAGGCCCCCAGG